AATGATAACAATGATAGTAAGAAAAACAGCAATAATAACATCAGCAAAGCCAATTATAATACGCTATCCTTGGCACAAGCCATAAAAGCAATTTTTACTTTGGATCATTTAATGTAAAAATTGAATGGAAAACTACGCTAACCATAATTCTTTTAGAGAATTTTGTAACGGCGAACCACTGAGGATGAGTCGGTGAGGAGTGCACACCTGTTTTATAGCAATCGTTATCTGCAAATAAAGTAAACTAACGTAAATTTATCAGTTTACTCGCTTCGCTATCATCACAGGTCTCACAGAATTTTTATAAAATTTGTGAAAAAAATTCAGGATGAATCTTCCAAAATGATAAAAATCGTGAAATGTTGCCCGATGATGATTTTATTCGGTTGTTACCTGTGCCTCGGGGTTCCGAATTTTATGTCCTTCATCAAGGATAACATAATGCCATGACTTATCAACCAGTTGCTTATAGTTTCTTTGAAATGTTCCATAGGACGTCAACAGAACACTGCCATCACTGAAACCAATAGACTACAGAGGGCGAGAAAAACGATCTTAGTATTATCACTAATATATAATACTTTATGTCAGCTAAGCCGGGGAAATGATAAGACATGTAAGGGCCCTGCATAAACGGAAATATTTTGTTAATTTCTAATTCCCAGCTTTCATACCCCTGCAGTTGGATTACTGGAGAGGTACAAACATGCAGACACATATATAAGCGCGCAAACACATATGTACGTATACAGACGTAGCCTCAAGTTACATAAATGCAAAAATGCATAATAACTGGTGGTACCACAATGAAACCGGGGACGGTCGCTCCATAGCTGATGGCTAAATTTATATTTATATTAAAAAAAGAAAGTAGAACCCATAGACTTTGATGAAAAGAAGGTACCTTCGTGGTGCGGTCATTTTCCGAATTAAATGGACGTTCTGGCCACGAAATGTACCACTGCTATGCAAGACTGCAACACGACAGACAGCGAACCACCGGTGAAATTCTCTGAGCCACTGATGCAAAAGTGTTGTTGGACATATGATCAAAACTGGGCCAAGTCCCGTAAACCTGAAGAGAATTAAAAAACTGAAAAAGAAATCCACAAATCACCGTCATTTTAATTATTGAATTACGCAATAAAACTGAGCTAAAAAATCAGAAACTAAAATTTCATTTAAAAAAAAAAATTCGTTGACAAGAATACCTAAATCCACGGTTATACAAGCGTGAGAATGCAAGTGCCTTCAGAAAAGTGATCACTTGAATTGTCTTGCCCAGGCCCATTTCATCAGCCAGAATTCCGCCAACGCACTGCTCATGCAGCTCACACAACCATCTCACACCTGTTTTCTGGTACCTGCAAAACTCATCTCGCTATCTGTCCAGTACGGCAAAAAACGCATAGAGTATTCTCAGTATGCAGAAGGCTTGTCATACTTCTACTAAAGTGTTTGTCACTGCCACGTTACACCACAGTGAGGTGCCCTGGGATCGTTTTTTATCCGAAAGCATGTTAAACAAGACAAAAGGAAGATACGGAATCTATGTAGTAGAATTCCAAGCTCAGTGCACTTCCCTCAATCAGTCGTCATTTCTCTCAGTGCTTTAGCAATAAAGTTACAGTGACCAACAATATTTGATGAGAGACGAAACAAACATTAGGACCACCAGCATGCTGATCAGTGGACAGTACAGCACCGGAAAATAACTGGAAAATTTGCCAGCTGCACAGCTTTTAGAGAAAAGCAACGGGAGCACGAATATGAATTAAGAGCTGTTTTTTTAGGCATTTCAGAGACGAACATAGCCCCAAGGTATCGAACCAGCCGGTGTTAAGCAAACTCCGAGAAGGAAGCCGTTGTGGTGAAAAGATCTACTTAAACATCTACTACATGGAACTTCACAAGTGAGAGAGGGTCGAGACTGGGCAGAACGAAGCTCTCAAATGTACCAGAGAGGGATAATAAAGTAATAGATGTACAAAGTACCACTGTTACTAGGATGCAACTTAGCATCAGTGAAACCATGAAGCAGGACCAAAACTCACTTATACAACTTCTTCCAGCAATCATTCGGCACTCGGATCTCGTTTTTCAATTCAGAAAACGTTTCATGGTCCTCCACATCACTTTCGTTGCCTTCGATCTTCATAAGCTCCAGTTTTGCACAGTGACTGCTGAAAACACAAGAACTGAAACCACAGATCTGTGAGCCTATATCTTCTTTTCTACGTTCCGTTTGCATAATCTTGTCCAACCGAGATTTGCCTCCACCCCCCTCACTCCTTCCGTCATCATCACCTTATTTTGCACAGCTAACTAATTTCCCAGGGGCAGGTGTGACGGTCCATTTCCACAGCTCTGAGTAAGCCAACGCTTTTAGCTCGACTTCTTATTAAACGGCATTTCAAATCAAACCGAATTCTTTTCAGGAAAAGGTCATCGTCGGCGTCATCTGGCTCTTTTTCCGTGCTCTTCTTCCTGACAACCTTCTTTTGCCTTTTCTTTCCTCTGGTTGAGTGTAAACTAGAGCTTCTGTCGTCCTGACTGCTCGCGCTTTCAGAAGATTCTTCTGGGATGAAATCACTTTCCGCTGAGGAGCTTGCCCACTCGCTGTCTTCGTCTTCTTCCTTCGCATCCTTCCCCTAAAAAAACTTAATTATTCACATACTTCATCCTTAAAAATAAGCATAATCCTATGTCTTAGTAAAAGAAATAATAATAACTACAGAAGGACACGAAAAATGAGGAAGCAGTAAAGACTCTTGAGGGAGACAGGCACATACGAAAAAGCTAAAGATGCTCATGTACCGATCAAATATGTGTTAATTATAAAAGTTATAAATTGATACGGATCGCACAGAGATCAGCAGTAACGAAGTTGCAAAAGCTAATGACAAGAGGTAAGATGTAAAAGGGAAAAAACAGACGTAGATGAAGAAAGGATCTCGGAATTTTGAGGATAAATAGATAA